GCTCCTCTGCTACTTTCCCGCTGGATGAGCAGGAGACCCCTCAGGGGAGCCCTGTGTGGTGTCAGGCTGCCTGCCTAGCCCCGTAAGGCTGGTGTCCCCATTGGTCACCTCGGGGGCAGCCTGGCCTCGCTCTGCCCAGCCAGGCATAAACAGCCTGGCTGCCGGAGGCTCCCGGAGTCGAGGATGAGGGGACATCAGAGACAGGCTCAGGAAGAACCCCAAATCAGTGCCTCCCCCCCGTCCTGCGGGTTTGACCACAGAGTCCCGGCCCCTTTCGAGTCCTTTTTGCGATTCCAGCACAACTGAGCCCAGGAGCCGAGCCTGGAGGTAACGCATGCCCTCGGGGTCGCAGGAAGTGTCTTGGCATTTCTGTAAGGAGGAGGCTTTAACCACTTTGCAGAGCACACATACAGCCCCCTTCGGAAGGACACACGTGTAGAAGAGGGACGGGGCAGTGAGTCTGAGCATCCAGAAAGGACATGGGCCAACGGGGACCGTGGCTTTGTGTCAAATCCATTTTCTACGCTTCAGTAAAGGGAGGGAAGGCGGGCACCAGGTTCCTCGTCAGGAACGGTGCTGTGGCCCCAGACACCGGCCCTGCCGAGCTCAGCCCGAGGGACTGGGGTCCTGGTCCACCGCAGCCACCACAGGGCACGGGGCTTCTAAACACCTGCCCGGCCAGGCCCGGCCATGAGCTGCCTGCAGGCCTGGCTCTCACACGGGCTCCTTGGGAAACTCATGGATTCGAAAACCTCTGGATAGAAACCTGAACCAAACCCTGCCCGCAGGCAGGGCCTCCATCCTGCAGCCCAGATGGGGCCTGAGACACCCCACACGGGGACGCCTGTTTCTGGGCTGGTCCCCAGGGCGCCTCCATGCTGGGTGCAGACCGTGCAGACACATCCGGTCGAGGTGGAGCAGAAGCACCTGGAAGGTCCTGCCCCGTGGTCACGTCGGGCCAGCCCTTGCCTCGGGCCCGGGCGCCCACTGGACAAACCGAGTGGTGGGGGGGGGGGGGGGGGGG